ATTGTTCTCTCGATAATTTTGAAGTTTTTGAAATAAAAATGACCACAAACGCAAGATTTAAATTAAACCATGAAGAAAATAGAGGTATAGTCTGTGCCCAATGCGGTGAAAAGATAATTTTTGGAAAATCCCTGTCCAATAGCATGTTTGTAATAACTGCAAGATTGAAAAGATTGCTTGTTAAATTTAGTAATCCGAAATATAGTCTAAGCAATATCAAGTTTTTAACTGCAATTTGTGGTACATGCAGGCATACTCTTTGCGATTATGAAAAAAATATTAAAACACGCAAGATGGTGAAAATGCCAGACTTTAAAAAACAAAATGTTATTACAAACTTTACTATGAATATCCAAAATGAGGTGCGTGCGTGCAGAATATGCACAACAGTAAGATTCAAAGGAAGGTAACACGAGGAAGGGAAAATACAAAAAACAAGGAAAAAAGGGCCCAGAATACCGAAAATAAAATTATTTTGGGCAAAATCTGTTTCACAAGAGTTGGTAAAGAAAAAAAAACAAATTTGTACGAATTCAGAAAGACATGGAAATGTCGTCAATATTATAAAAAAATTTACGCCGAAAACTCAAGAACACGTCGTTTCTTCAGTTCTCAAGACCCGAGTATTAAAATCTAATAATTCATTATCTTTTCACAAAAATGCTTCTATTAGTCTAACGAAGATTGTCTACGGAAGATTGTATTAGATTTTTGAATGGTGCTGGGTTGGACACATGGTCTGAGCAGGCTGGGGAGTCGATCCTTCGCGAGTTTATAAAATACTGGAATAAGTATAAAATCAATTTACTTGAACATCCTGATTATGGTGAACATTTAAAAAAAGCTGTAGTAGACTTTAGTTCTAACAATGATTCATAGTTTTCTGTAAAGTAATTTTAGGTATCATTATTATTTAATAAATAAATAGATTACTATTATTCTTAAAATTAAATTATGAAAAAACTTTACTTTTTTTTCTAGTCTCTTGTCAAATTAGAAAATTTATTGATTTATAAAAAAAATGGAAAAATATAAATAGTTACTCTCTCTTTATATTTTAATTCTTGATTCTTTATTGAAAATTGATAGGTCATACCAATATTTTAGCGGAGTCCGCCTAAAATTGTAAATTTTAGACATCACTTCATAAATCTTTGCAAAAGATCCAGAAAATTGCAAAAAAATAAAAAAGAGGATCAGCTAGTATTTTGAAAAATATGGTTTTGGAGTGAGGAATAGATGCATATTCCAAAAATACAATCCGTTTTGGTTGAAATTTTTATGTGACCTGAGACTTGTTCAGGCACACCGTTAGGTTTTCTAAAAATTCTAACCCAAAGTGGAAAACTCATTTTTTTTATATTTAAGCTAAATTATGTATTTTTCTCCATAAAACTCGTAATACAATTTGAAAGTACTACCTACTATTTTATTTCAAAATCCTTTTTTTTTAACGTCCATTTTTCTCTTTGGGAAATAATTATTTAAAGTAAAATATATTAGTTTGGTTTGGTTATAAATTTGGTTCATTTATTTGATTATACGTTTCAACAAACGATGAGACGAACCATTATGAATTATGGTTTAATGTCACAGTCTACTTGTCTTACTTTGTTGGCTAAATTCTTCATATTTTCCTCTGTTAGTAGGAATTTGTATAATCGTATAAAATGTTTATTTTTTTAATAGCATTGAAACAGTTTGTAATAACATTTCTTAATAAAAGCTTTTTCTATTTAGATAAAATCACCCCTATTTCCATCAGCAATACATTATTAGTATATTAAGTAAAAGCTCCCCGTGGATTAATTCGAGAGGGTAAAATGTAAGGGACCTAAAAAATGTCTTGTTTCCAAATTATAATTTTTAAAGAACCAAAATAAATAGTATTTCTGTAATACTTAGGTAACTTTAAGATATAATTTAAAGTTTAGCTTAATTAATGTCTTAAATTTTGTCATTTTAGATACTTATTTCCTGTTCAACATGGTTAAAATCCAATAAGAGGCAATCAGAATCTTGTCACCACACTTTACACTACTCATGACTCATTAATGATGGATGATGCTATTTTCCATCGTCTCACAGCCAACTTGTTGGTTGTTTGTTTAATTGGATACATGAATATAGTCTTGTTATTTGTTACAATATTTTTTTCTTAAAAACTATAAATTTATAAAGCGAGGCTGATAAAATTTATGGCTTACCTTGTTTTATAAAATGTAACTGCTATCCTGACATGGTGTTTTTAATCGTTTGTTTGGGGGTGCAAAAAACCCAAGAATATCATAAATTATCCGACTATATGTTTTTGACTTAGAAATTTATTGTTAGCAAGCTTACAATGGCAAATAAAAAAATTAACGATTCTAAAGTTTTTCCGGTCGTTTAATTGGATTGAATCGCAGAAACAGAGACTGGCCCGACTTTAAACAGCGGCTGCGTTTTATGGCGGAGGAATTTTATTTATTAGGTTTGTGGTGCCCTACATGTTCCTAAATTATGTTTTATTCTATTGCATGCACAATTTCTTAATTATTTATCGTCCAGCAAAGGCGAAATAAAGAAGTAAATATAAAAACTCCAAAGGGAACTTTATTGTTTTACTGCTAACACATTTTTTATATTACAGAACACAATTAATACAAATTCTTAATACACATAATCCATTTTAAATTTACCAACTAAAGCATACATTTTATAATTTGCACATAATAATATAAATAAATCCCTCTGCTTCTACCCAACTAAAAATTAATTATGGCAATATTTTGTTTAATTTTAATAATTGGAATTATAACAAAAAAAATTATAAAATATACTATCTAGTATTAAACTAACTTTAAAATTAAAATTTTTTGTAAGGAAGCCATGACAGGAAATCAGTTTTGCTTGTTCTACTTTTTTTGTAAATATATTCAGTGACTGAAATTAAATGTCATTCATCGACAAAGTTAAATAAATCATTTAACTGTTAGGAGAGCTTGACAAGTGAATGCCGGTGACGCTAATTACTAGCGACTATTTATAGATTTTTAGAATGCTAAATTGCTGATAAACTGACTTTGAAATTTAAGGAATTTTGAGGTCTGTCAGGAAAATCAACTTTTTTAAATTCTTAATTACCCTGAACATACGTCAGTCTTACTTACGTCTTACGTTTAAAAAATACAACTTCAGTGAAACCATTGTGAAATTAGCGGGTCAGATAAAGTTAATTAATAAAAGTGGATGATAAAAAGAGTGTAGAAAACAAAAAACATTAAAATAATAATAAAAGTATTTTATAGGGTTTTACAATAATTAGTTCTTTAGGATTAATATTTAGGTAGATATTGTATCAAGTGGACCCCCCATTTTCCACTTGGTAATAGAATTTAAATTGTAATACATTAATCGTTAGTAGTCATTAATAACAATATTTCCTTAAAATATTTTTTTTTATTATAAATTTAAGAGTTTGTAGTAATTTTACTCAGAATTTGATGTTGAATTTAAAAATGTAAAGATTTTCATTTAAAATAACAAAGTTGATCTCACCGGTTAAAGCGAAAGTGGCATTTTGTTAAAAATATTTTAGAAAAATAGACCTAAATGGATTATAAACTCTTTTAAAATTTTAAATCAATATCTTTTTTCGTTCCCCAGAAACTTCTAATGGACCACGAATATGAAAAACCCTGTATAAGTACTTAAAAATAAATATTTTACAGCAATAAATATTATAAATACAAAAAACGCTTAGAACAAAAATAATATTTTTGTTTTTATGCACCAGCTAATAAAAATATTCTGCATTAATTAATTAATTTATTTATTTTATTGATTAAAATTTGTAAAATATTTGTCGACGGTAAATTTACTAATAAAAATATTAAAATATATGTCATGTTTTGAATTCAAATAAAAAGAAAGCATTCCAACCAATTCAGCCGAGCGCGGCTTCGACTTATCAGGCGCGTAGCCTTGCAGTAAAAAATTAATAATGTTTAAAGTAATGCCGGGCAGTGAAATTTTTTTTCAGGTTATGAAACCTTAATATTCAGTACATGTAACCATGAAAAAAAACCTTGATTATTTGATAGAGACTGTATATTTCAATGATCAAAATAATGTTTTTTTTTGTTTATAAAAATACATATATTAGCATATAAAATTTCACTACGAAACTTTCAACAGTTTTTTCATAAATAATTTTTTAATTAAAAATATTTGTTACAAAAAAACTCTGTTAAAATTATAATAAAAAAAAATATTTTAAGGAAATATTGTTATTAATGACTACTAACGATTAATGTATTAAGGTAGTTATCGTGCTGTAAGCATACCATCAGAAAATTTTAAATTTTTGTATACTTATTAAGGACATGACAATACAATTATCCTTAAAATTTGAAGTTGATTGACCGTCTATAACCCGAGATAAATTCAATTAAAAATTATTAAAAAAAAAAAATTAACATGGATTGTATACGCTTTCTGTAGTTCTTTACCAGTTTCTTAGTTATAAAAAAAACTAACAGTCTTTTAATGTATTTTTGCTGAGTTTAAAAAAAATAATTAAAAATTTTTGACCGTCCAATTGTTTATAAATAACCGTTTAAAGTTCAACAATTTGTAAAAAAGTATACATCACTAGTGTCATATAAAAACAACTTGGCAACGCTGTACGCGAGTATAGTTATTATTTCCGCAGTAAATTCAAACAGACTGATTCAGTCTCCAATATATCTATTGGTTGAGCATAAGCAAAGTTGCCGGATTAAAAAATTATGAATCACTTGGCTACAAGCTCGTAAACTTTTACGGTGCGTATAATCTAAAAAAATTTTGACAATATTGTACCACGACAACTACCTTAAATTTTAAATTCCATTACCAAATGGGGGGTCCACTTGACGGGTCCACGTGACGTGATATGGTCCCCTAAACTTATGCCTGATCGATTTCTGCTAAGCGCATTATCCCTTTTTTTGGATAGTTTTCATTTATCCATGCCCTTACCTGTCTTCCAAAATGGTGGGGAGAATCATCCATTTGGCTATCTGTTCTGGTACCGATGGGTACTTCATCTAAAAAATCAATTATGATTGGTAAAAAAGTTTTAAAAAAAGTTCAGCACTAATCTAGAACATTCTTGAGCCCAAACATTGCAATTGTGGTGATTGAAAATCCCTGTTTGAGTAAAATTTCTGGATTTTCGCCAATAGAATCAAGTGATCAGTGGTATGGCTTTTTATTATGTTTATGCACTGAAGTGGATTATTGTTGAATTTTCTTAGTATTGCATATTAATGATTATTTATTCCTCCAGCGGCAGCTGCAAAATCCATAAATAAAGTGCATGTCTGGACAATCAGCATTTTCGTTAAAGAATTTTCGGCACACTACCGAACAAACAAAATAATTTGGTAAACAATTTACCAAACTGTCAAGAATTAACAATTATTGAAGGTAACTTGATCGTACCATTTATTCATCCTAATGACAAATTTAGGGCCTACTCGATTTTTTAGCAATTTTTTTTTAATTCAGTGCAGTTTTTGAGATTGTGTTTACAAACCTATCTTCTAAACTTTTTCTTCCAAATTGAACAAATATTTTAAAATTTCAAATAATTAGGGGGTGAAAATACGGGAAGGAGAGTAGAAGCACCCCCAAATAACTACGTACCTGAAAAATTGCAATGTAACTCGTTATTACTGTTCCATATAGACTTATTTATGTAAACATTAATGTTAATTGGTTCAAATTTAAAGGAAATTCACTAAAGTTATTAGAAAAAAATGAATATTTCCTTTATATTAGACATTTATGAAACATGTTTTTTGGGGAGTGCCCTTTATTTTTGTATCTTCTTATAAATTATAATCAATTATTATAACAAAATTAAATAAAATTTGGTGGCAAATATTCCTAATAAAAATAAATATTGTTGGTAGCGCGGCGATCAAATGGGAAGGGGCCAAGCAAAATTAAATAAATTATCGGTAAAGGTGGAAATTGAGAAAATCTAATGGTGTACAGTTGGCCTTTAAAGACTCATTTTAAGGTTGTTATTTAAGTCATTACTTGTTTAGATAACGTGAAGAAAAATCGATGAGCAAACGTTAGCGCATAAAATCCGATAAAGTTTTATCTTTCCCCAACGAGGAATTCCAATCAATGACTTATTTGCCGTAGATTTCGGAATATATATTGTTACGTAGTATATGGAATGAAACACCTATTGAAAGAGAGTTGATTATAAAACTGAATACACAGTAAATATCACGAATAAAGTTTACGTATGCATATAATATATTATACATGTTTTTTATTTATTTTATATCAATTTTAATAATAATATTGATACATATCTTCAAGAGGTCTATTAAGTAAATAATTCTGTTTTTTTGTTATAAACTTTTATGACTAAAGGTATAATTCGTAGCACCAAGATTTTTTAACATTAGTGTAATTATGGTAATTACCATATATGTACTATCGCTAACAAAACAACTCATACAGCTATATATTGACTTTGTGAATACAACTTTTTCGTCAATGTCAAGGTGATATCGAGGTTTGTCACATCCATTATTCATACCTCGTTTAACTGTAGCCGAAAAACATACATTTATTGTTCGTCTGGAACAAGGTTCTTCAGTAAGCCAAGTGGCGATGATGTTTAATATTGACAAAATGACGGTAATGGCAGTAAAGCGATAATGGACGGAACATAGAAACTTCGTGAGAAGAGCTGGATCCGGAGTCTCCACAGATGCCCAAGACCAGGCACTAATCCACCATCTTCGCCAGGATCCTTTCAGTACGGCACGGAAAGCGATTGATGAAATTGTATTTCCCGGCTACTCGATGACTGCGAGTCGTAGAATCAAAGAGTCAGAACTGCACTGCAGGGTGGCTGTCAGAAAGATTTTTCTAACAGATTTAAGGAAGCAGACTCGTCTGCTGTTCTCCTTAAATCATAGTTATCGAGAATTTGACTTAAGGTGATTTTTACCGAGGAAAAGACATTACAATCGAGCCATAATGGCTCAATAAAAGTATACCGACCGGCCAATACGAAATTTGATGAGGAATACTTGAAACGAACAAATCCCTATAGACGTTTTTCCGTCAATGTTTGGGGGTGGATTAGTGCTCGAGGCATAGGTGTCTGCTGCAGGATCCGAGGAAGATTAAATGCAGTGAATTATATCAATGAGAGACCTGTACCCAGAAAACCAATGTATTTTCCAACAGGACAATTGTCCAGTCCATATGGCTCACATTGCCACTGAATGGTTTTGAAATATCAACATCGAGGTTTTGCCGTGGCCGCCTTACAGCCCAGATTGTAACCGGATAGAAAACGTATTGGGCTATATAACGAAAAGGCTTTATCAACGAAATTTTTGACCAAACAATGCAGACCAACTCTGGCAAGCTATTGAAGCCATTTGGAACGAGATAAAGCAAGACGGCGACTGGTTAGGACCATTCATTACTTCCATGCCTCGTCGTTTGCAGTCAGTAATTGACAAAAAGGAATGACGAAATATGGAAATAAATTTTCTTTAAACTTCAACTTAACTTTGATTTAGTTTTAGACCTTTTAAATGTGAAGTATCATGTTAAAAGCCATACTTACTCCGACCAAATTATAGAAAATCATGAATACTAGATTTTTAAGATGTATGAGTTTTTTTGTTAGCGATAGTATATTAGGATGTCCGTTATTTACCAAGTTGGGTGTTTTCACTTGAGTATCATTTAAATTGTTAGTTTATAGCCCAAAACAATTTTTTTTCGATGCCGCTTAACCCTGCCTAAATGACGATACTTTTCCCATTAATTTAACATGGAGTTTTTGAACTTTTTGGAAATTAATTTTTTTCTTGTTTATTATAGGTATTCAATTACTCAAATTTTAACGATTTTTACGATGTTCTTTGCGTATAACGTTGATACGTCTATTTTTCTGTACCACTTAGCTTCCGTCACAATTCTTACAAGGAATTTCGTATACCCCTTGTGCCTCCAACTCTATTTTTGGTTTGGCGTTTGGAAGTATTTGACCAATCTTTTTTGGAGCGGTAAATGTTGTCTCAATGTTTTGTTTTTTGAGAACCTTGCCTATTCTCTCGGTTGTCCCTTTCACGTAGGGAAGGCCTTCGAAGTTGGTTTGTTGTTCTCGTCTTCTTTGGTATTTAACGGGCGTCGTGGTCTAAGAGCCTTTTTGATGATGGTTTTAGAGAATCCGTTTTGCTGTAGCGTCATTTGGATTTTTAGGTCTTCTTGTTTATTGTGGTCATCATCCGCCAGCTTTTCGGATCGAGTGACAAGTGTCTTAATGACTGACTGCAGTTATGACGGGTGGTGGTGAGTCTGGGCGTGTGTCCTAAATTGCCATTATTTTTCTTGATTATAAAGACATCCAAAAAAAGGTGGAAATTTCGTTGAGATGGTCCAGGAATTTTTTCAGTTCTGCTTCTCCGTGGGTCCACATAATAAATATGTTTTCTACGTACCGTAGCCATAACTTTGATTTTAGTGTTGCCGTTTCGATTGCTCGTACTTCTATGTCTTGTCTAGCATCGAATACAGAACTAAACATCCTTGAAGCCATTGAAATAGAAAAATGTTTAAAAAACCTCAACACAAGAGGCGATACACAGAGACTAAGCTTTCTGTTGCGCAATAATTTATAAAAAAATACATTTAAGTGTATATCTCCACAACGGCTACATACGCGATTTTAATTTTTCCTGCAAAGTAAAGCTAATATAATATCACTATTTAAAAAAAAAATGTTTGGTAGATTATATATTTTTTAAGTTGAAAACGCCAAATGTACCAACGTGTTCAGAGAACGTTTAATTCCTGATAATTTTAAACTGATTTTGTAGCCAATATTTGGATATATTGAAAAGATAAGGTGTCATCAGATCTAAGCTTAAACTTCAGATGCAGTAATACTTCATGATTTCAAGCAAAACCTTAAGATTTAGACTGCCAAAGATCAAAGTAAATACCTGCTACCATGTATTTTTAGTTTTTAAAGATACTGATGGATAGTTGAATGAATTATAGCAAATTTTTTATGGTCATTGACTTAATAACATTGTAAACGTGTACTTTCTTAGCATCAGTAAAAATTAAGGTAAATGAAACTATTAAATACCATTTATGCGGTTTAGTTTTTGAATCTGTGAAGGTTTATTTAAAATATTCGCTACGTCTTTTTGGTGAGATTTGGTTATATACTCTCTAAAAATGAATTAGTCAAAAATGACTAATTGTCATAGCGAAAAAGCCGCCACTAATAATTATCATCAATAGCAATTTGTATCCTGAACATTTAGCAGTTATTTTCCATGTAGAATTGTCCCCTGAATCCGAAAATGTCGTTAAAAGTTAGGAAAGTAGAACAGTTTTTGAAATATAATTAATTTTCCATATAATATGGAATTTACTATATCTCAAAAACTTCTCTAATTTCATCATTTTTGACGGTATTTTCGAATTCAAAAGACAATTTTACATGAGAATTAATAAGAATTTAAATGTTGGGGATACCATGGTATCCCATGGTTAACCATGGTATAAGTGAAAAAGCAGCCACTAATAACTGTAGTGACTAGTTATTTTTAGAAAGTAGTTTCCAAGTTTTTCGCGTTACATTATTTAAATTAAATTTTTGTAGATTTTAATGCAGTTCTTTTAATGTTTATTTATTTAGATATATCCATATATATTCATTATTGTTAGTTTTTCTATATGTTAAATTCTTCCAAACATCTTTTAATTTTCTCGGAAACCCAGTATTATATTCGTATGGTCAAAGTTATTTTTTATTGTTTTTAGGTTAAACGATTTTAACAATAATAGTACCTATATTATGTATTAAGTTTGATAAACGCCATTTTAGTCAGGAATTTAATTTAGGCACGAACGAGCTTGCGACCGAGTGCATAATTAAATAAGTGTCTAGAATAGTTTATAAACGAGTTTCATACTAAACTTTTATTATCTAAAAATGATTTTAATTAAATATATTTGTATAGAGCGACATCTAAACAAAAATAGAGTAACTGTAAGAATGGGAATCTGTACAGGCGGCAAATGTCAAATTTGTCTGTGTAAATCGAAATGTATGCCTTGAAAATGGACTAACAACCGTTTAAATCCTATATAGAAGCAGTTTTTTTGCAGTGACCGTAAAGAGAATGTTTACGCGAAATTTTGAATGCCTTATCTAGTATATTGCTGGCCACAGCCTTATCTAAATCCATGCTGCCGGCGAAATCAAGGTCAGTACAAACGTATTTAACTATTTAATACTTTTGTATTTGTGTGTTAAGATACCTAATACAATAATTTTCACATTTAGTATTAGTTCTTTATTTTAACTCTCAACTAACTTTAAGCTAACTTCAACCCGTGACTAAAGCGCAATCAAGCAATAGCTTGTCAATGCATATTTAAAAGATCACTTAGTCTCATGTACAATAATGGGCGTTTTAAAGGTGGAATGCAGTTTAGAGTATAAAGCTTCTAATTTAGGATGCAAAAACATGTCAACGTAAAAATAAATATATTTATATATTTATTTATAATTTATATCATCGACTTCTTGTCAATATAAGCCTGCGTTCCGCATTCATATTATAAAAGTAGGTCTTTTGGTTGTGGAACAGTATACTAAATACAGTAGCTAATACAATTAAATTGTTTAAAATTTATCACCTGTTATACTTTTTAAAACATTCTCAACAAATATAATATTTTGATTTGAGAAACGACAAACACATACCAAAATACTTTTATTTTGTTAAACAATAATATTACTGCCTTTACTATTACTACCTTTAAGGCAGCCATACTATTCAATATGGGACAAATAGACAAATTGGCTTGCTCATAAACAAAAGACAATAATAATAAGGGATAAAAAAATTAGTAGGTAGTTTAAACGCATTTTATTAAATACATAAACTATAAAACATTATTTTAAAGCTGTACAAATTATAAACAAATTTAAACAAATAAATTATTACAATCAATTAAGTAATTAAAAGCTAAAAATTCATCTTTTACATTCAAACTTTCATTGCTAGTAGATTGTTTGGGAGCCTCATTCACTTGTACTGTTGAAACTTGGTTATGGGTGACATAGGGTTGATACTGGTTATAAAAACCTTCAAAAGGATTGTAAGCTGGCAAATTTGGGAGTTCATAGTTATTCCTATAAGGATCATGAGATGGAACGGGCCTGATGTTTTGTTTTATTGCTGCAGGTGCGTAGTTAAGTAAATTATTTACAATATGCTTATCTTCTTCGGATGATGAATCATGTCGAGGAGTTCCAGCGTCGCTTGATACAGGACTGCTGTGGCCACTGGAGTATCTCGAGTTACTGCATGCGGTAGCCTTGGCGTTGTCCTTTTTTTGTTTCATTCTTCTGTTTTGGAACCACACTTTAACTTGTCTTTCGTTGAGACCCAAACGTTGGGAGATGTCGATTTTTCTGGGCCTTGAAAGGTAGCTATTAAGATAAAACTCCTTTTCCAAAGTAGATAGTTGAGACGCTGAGTATGAAGTTCTTACACGTCTATTTTTAGGGGAGCCGTCGAAGACATGGGAAGGTGCCATATTTGGATAAGGTTGAATCTAAAAAAAATTAATAACATTGTCACTTTAAACAAATTATATACAGTGTTTATGGTTATATAAAAACAAATAAAAAATTTGTTGAAACTTACCAATGCAATATCAATAGGTTTGTTTTCGATCATGGCAGCAGAAAGAACGATTTCGTGATATTTTGTTTCCATTTTAATAATAAAATATTAAAGAGGGGATTAGGCTGTTGTACTGAACGAGAGACAGTGAATGAGTGTATAATTTTTCATGACCACTATTTATATGTCTCTTAGATAATCTCCACCATTGTAAAGAATAATAATTCCATGATACTGACCAATAAAAATCAAGCAATATTTAATCCCTTACCTCGATTTCATTTGAAAAATTGCAAAAGTTATTAAAGGGTTAGTCTGCACCTGACCTGCTTGGTGGTAAAATTTAGCCCGGGCTACTTACCAAGTGTTAATTAAGTTTTGCAAGTAGCCTTGGCAGGCTTTGTAGTGAAATTTTATCGAGTGAAGGCGTAAAATAAAAATCATCCATTATTAATATAATATATTATGCATAAAATAATGTTGGGTATTCGCAATATGTGTCATCGTTAGTTTGCCTCTGTTATGGAGATAATAGTCGGCAGTATTCATTTCAGATGCAAGGTAAAAACCAAAATAATTTATTACAAATATTTAAGTGTACATTTCTAAAATTCATAATAAAGAGTTAGCACCATTATGTGATAAAACATATTTAAAAGCATATAACAATTTTACATGGAAATACATTCCACTACCAATGCCAACCTACCTAATATCAAGCTATAAAAGTTTTTTTTTGAATTTTCAAATAAAAATTTGATAACAGCGCCTAGAAAATAAGTTACAAAATAATACTTCAGTTTAATCCTCTGATATTTTGTAATTACGTAGGTAGTTTTTGAAAAACTAACAATTTTAATTTTATATTAACATTTATATATAATTTATTACTAATATTAATAAAGTTTGAAATTTAAAATGTAAAATTTAATTAAAAAATTGTGGAAACGTCAGAAAAGGCTAGTGGAAATATATTCTAAGGAAATATTTAGAAAACTTTAAAACATTGAAAATGTCTATTCAATTAAAAAAACAAATTACTAACATTGAGTACGCCCTTCTATTTATATAACCTAATTTTGGGTTGCTGATTTAAACATCTAGGATTCGAAATAATTGCGAAATAAAATGCTTTGCCGAATTATCTCAAAATGTAAGTTTTTCGTTAATGTTTTGATTATAATCAAAATATAAACGAAAAAATAATTATTTATTAAATTATTGAATGTAGCAAGTCCCTGTATATTAAAAAAATATATATAAGCCCAAAGGTATGGCACTTTAAATACCAAAACTAAAATTATAATGTATTTTTTTGTAAAATGTATAATTTTTTGACATACCAACGTCTTTAATTAATTACTTAATTCAAAAGGCAACAAAGTATACGGGTTTCCAATAGCGAAATATTTAAATAATTTAAATATTACCTATTGTTGACATATGTCGACATAAACAATTATTATTGTTAATTCGTTTATTAATAATAATAAATAAATATTCAAACAAATCATGCAAGTAGCTTTATCCCAGTCATCATCTTTGGGTTGAATATTTGTTCTTCATCATCAACATAATATGTTGAACATATGTATAATATACATTGTATATATAACGATATTTTCGTTAAGCATTTTAAAATTGTAATTATTAGGTATTTCCATGGGAATATTTTCAATTTTTAAAATGTTATTTCTAAATTATGTTTTTTTACAGCATATAGAGTCTATATATCCCGTGTGCAAAAAAAATTGTGTGCAATGTATATCGGAATGGACTTTAAGCCCGCGGTCCGTTCCTACCCCTAACCCGCTCAAGCCATTCAGTTGGCTTCTGGGACTTCTTAGGAAGTAAGGATAGAACTAAAAAAAACTGTCGGCAAATGACCCTTAAAGGGACGAAACGGTTTAAAATAAAATAATATTTTGTTTGCTTACTTAAGAAATATTAATAAAAAAATACATGTTTGCCAAAAACACACTATTTTATCTTAAAACGTTTCAGAAATAATAAAAATAAAATATTTTCGGGGGCACCCCTTTAAGGTGAAGGTTAGGGTGGGCCGAAAAAATTATTTTTTGAATTCAATTTAGCATACTAGCCCAATATTTAAGGGTCCCCCGGGGGCCATATTTTGTTTGGGGTGGCAACAAAAAGTTACATTATGTTAACAATAATTGTAGAAAAAAAATTAGCGTACTAGCCCAATATTTAAGGTTGCCCCGGGGGCCCAAAATTTTTTTAAATTATTAATTGGGGTAGCCACAAAAAGTTACCTTAAGTTAAAAAAAGTCCAATATTAGAATTTGACATAAAAAATTTGGCGGTTTAGCAAATTCTAGGGTTAAAAATGTTTATAAATTTGGAAATGTTTTTTTTTTAAATAAAATAACTAAAAATATTTATAAGTCAAGCAGACGACTTCTTTATAAGGTTCGGTGGAAAAGTGTGTGAAGCTTGTAACAGACGCTGCATTAAAAATTTGCTGTGAGGTATCAAGATGCGCGGACACCTTTACCGGCCTATATGACAACAAGTCTCAATATAATTTAAATAATAAAAAACTGGGTGGGACGGAGCGGATGGAACTCGAGGAGCAAATATCCAATTAATTAATAATAATAATAATAAAAATGCTTTATTGCGTAAAACACAAAATTAATTACACAAAAGGCTGCGTTCGTAAGGACGTTCTTCCATACCACCTACTAAGAAATTAAATCTATTTTATTCCGCATATCACATATTAATTAAACTAAATCCTATAATTTCATACTATTTACTTAAGTTTTAAATATCACACCAGTTAATAACAAATTTTTATACTCTAAATTAAATGTGTTTGGATATTTAAATATTATGTTAAAGAATGTTTTATCGTTCAAAAGTTCTATAGATAGGTCTATAAACGAATCCTTAGATTTTGAAGTTTTGTGACTAGGTATTTGAAAAAGATTGTGTCTTAAATTAAGATTTTATTTATTGGATCTTTAAGTGAAGTTGTTGAATAGGTATTCAGGCAATTATTAGGTATTTACTTTCTGAACTAATTTTCCAAAATTATGCTTGTAAGGATCAATTATTTTAAATGCTTGTTTTCCAAATATATTGAAGTATTGGGGTCAAATTTTCCGACTAAATATATGAATCTAATACATGAGTTTATTTTTAAATGTTTCAGTATGATATGAGTAGTAGACTGGCATTCAATAGTCTATAATAGGGTGTATATTAATGTTGAGACAATTTTGCACTTGGTGTTAGAACTTAGAACATACTTAAATTAATATAGTGATTTCAGCTTCATATAATACAAACTAAGTTGTCTTGTAACATGGCTTTCAAAGTTCAGGTTTGTATAAAAAATAACACCCAGATTTCTTGCTGTTTCTTGCTGAGGTATTTCTATATTATTTATATGCATGGTATTAAAATTATATTGTTTTGATTTATTTATCATATATACTGTACCAATATTTATTACAAGACTCTTTTTGGCATTTAACTGAAGTCTATGATTAACTGACCAAGCATTTACTTCTTTTAAGACTTTATTTATTTCGATAGTGGTTGTGTTAATAAATTTAGAATAACGCAAAATCTTTTTTAAATTTAATAAAATTAAGCTAAGAGTTGCTAATTTTTTTCATCAAAAGGCGTCTTAATAAAATAATAAAAAAAACTTAGACTGATACAGACATTTAATAATGCAATAATACATGGGGTAACTTTTTGTTGCCATCTCAATTAAAATATATGTAAAAAATTTGGGCCCCCAGGACACCCTTAAGTATTGGGCTAGAATGGCTATTTTTTTCTAAACATACTGTTAACATGAGGTTACTTTTTGTGGTTACCCCAATTAAAATATGAACAAAAAATATATTTTTGGCCTCCGGGGCACCCTTAAATTTTGGGCTAGTACGCTCATTTTTTTTTTTGAATTACTGTTAATATAAGGTAACTTTTGTGGTTACCCCAATTAAAATATGATAAAAATAAATATTTTGGGCCTCCGGGGCACCCTTAAATATTGGGCTAGTACGCTCATTTTTTTTTTCTAGAACTACTGTTAACATAAGGTAACTTTTTGTTCCCACCCCAGTCAAAACATACAAAAAAAAATATTTTGTGTCCCCGGGGGACCCTTAAATAATGGGCTAGTACGCTACATTTTTTTCTAATAAATTACTTTTAACATAAGGTAACTTTTTATTGCTACCCAAAAATAAATATCTCAAATATTTTTTTTTACATTTTTCGGCCCACCCTAGTGAAGGTCCCTCAGGGGGCATTTGCCGACTTATGTTCGTATAAAGTTGTCTTTATATTGTTGCTTGTAGAGTATTGCACACTATTTTTGGGACACCCTGTATACCGTTTACGCTCGCAAAACCCTGTTATAATAAGTATTATGTAAGTACTTAATAAGAATATTGGATTACTTACATCTTATTTTTATAAAGTAACATCTTAATTTGGGTTTATCTATCCTAAATTTGCTTAATCATAATTTTAATTACAATAATAAACATAACTGTTATTCTAGCCTAATTTGTAAGTAAATGTGCTTAACTTTTTAATTATTCTGAAAAGAAAAAAATATTTTTAACAATTTTTTTACCTGTCATCTGTCAAAAGTGTCTTTTTATTATTATTTTGAATTAAAATTAAAGGTACTATTTAAAATTGTAACATTACTGCAAGCCTGTAAAAATCCAGGAGATGAAAACTCTGTTCTTTCTTTTTTGTTAATTGATTGAAGAAATTCATTTCTTCTGGCAGTTATAGTGGCATTACCTCTCTTTTTTTCTATTATTATAATATGCCCCGTTTTGCTTCTTTATATTGGAAGTTTTTTTTTCAAAATGGTGTTGAGCTCCACCGAATTAATCCAGGTTGTAACTCCTCGGTGAGGAAATTCAAAAATTGTCTCCAAACCGATTCTTTGGACTTTCGGGTATTTTCTGAAACGGAAGCGCAAATCATACCATCAATTTAAGCTTTTATGCCTTCTATAAGGATACTTTTTTGATGGCATTGCCGCAGCAACGAATATGCATTGAAAACTCAATTTCGATGCCTTTTGATTGAAATTTTTGGTTTAATAAAATTGTCCTTCGTATACCACTCGTAATCTTTTAACACTAGAAGCGCCATAGGGGTCATTTTAACCCTTTTCGGATTAAACTTGTAATTATCTTTTGACCTAATAGAACTTTTGAGCTGAGAATGATTTACTTTTCACTGATATGGACAAGTATGAGCACAACTTATAAATGTCTTTTTGTAATTTGTTTCTGTTTTTTTTTATGATTTTAACCTATTAGGGCCACAAGGGGTCATAAATTAGTGTAGACATAATTAAAATCGTTAATTGTTTAAATTGCACTAAATAGTATAGTGCGAGTATAAACTTGTAAATTTACTTATTGTTTAATAAATTATGAATTCCACGTTTATTTTCTTTCTCTTGTCATTTATATCCCTAAAAAGTAGGGTCAATATGGCCCTCTATGGCGCTTCTAGGTAGAAGAAAATGACGGCGCTTCTAGTGTTAAGGTGTGATACTTTCTCTATGGGTTTGATATAGCAAATATTGTTTGTAACCTTAACACTAGAAGCTTATATGACAATATTTTTTTATTTTAGGGTTTTTAAATTAAAAAATATATATATTTTTAGGAAATTTTTTTCTACAACAATCATAGTTTTAAAATCTAAGCAAGATTTTAAACATATATATAGGTATTTAAATACTACCCAGTTATTAAGTAAATAATATTATTTTTCTACTCCCACCTTTAAAACGCCCATTATCGTACATGTTTCCACGACACTAAGTGACTTTTTAAGTGATCTTTTAAATACACATTGACAAGCTGTGGCTTTATTGCGCTTTAGTCACGGGTTGAAGTTAGCTTAAAGTTAGTTGAGAGTTAAAATAAAGAACTAATACTAAATGTGAAAGTTATTGTATTATCTTAATAAACAAATACAAAAGTATTAAATAGTTTCTCAACGCCAATATTTAAAAAGTTTGTATTTACGTTTCTGTGGGTAAAAGGCATAAGGGGATAAGTCAAAAAAATCAATTTTTTAGCAGTGCCTTAAAAGTGTTCGCATTAATTTAGGAAATACATTTATGGTTAGCGCGTATACCCTTTTTCCAGCACATGTCATATGCTAGCAAAAGGGCATACTCGCTAACCAAACATATATTTCCTGAATTAATGCGAACACGTTTAAGTCTCTACCAAAAAAATGCTTTTTTTGACTTATCCCCTTATGCCTTTCATCCACAGGTTTGTACTGACCTTTTGATTTCGCCGGCAGTACGGATTTAGATAAGGCTATGGCCAGCAGTATGCTAGATAAGGCATTCAAAATTTCGCGTCAAGACCACGGTGGATAGCCCATAAACATTCTCTTTACTTTCACTGTAAAAAACTGCTTCTATATAGGATTTAAACGGTTGTTAGTACATTTTCAAGGGATACATTTCGATTTACACAGACAAATTTGACATTTGCAGTTAGCAACCGGTTTTTAGTCACTGAATAAAGTTGTCAAATGTCATAAAATCTTTAAAATAAAGTGCTTTTCTTGTAAAATAATACCAAATGTGAAAATACAAAAAAAATTATTTCAATACAAAAGTATTAAATAGTTTCTTGACGCCAATATTTGAAAAGATTTTATGAAAGGTTGTATACAACCTATAGGTACTGACCTTTTGATTTCGCCGTTGTAGTGCAGTTACATAAGTAGATTTAAGTGAAGTATTAAAATTTTTGCATATATGCCTGTATACGGGGCCCACTAAACATTATCTTCTCTTTTACTGTAAAAAACTGCTTTTATATCGATTGTCTATTTTCAAGGGATAAATTTTAATTTAATTTTAATTTGAGATTTTAACGCCAGTAGATTTCCAAGTTAGAAATTCTTATGGGAATTCCAATAAATACTACTGTCATTTTTTGTACCTTTAACATTTCCCTTGTAAAAATGTTTAATACTTTGTGATAATATTTTGCAATTATTGTAATAAAAAAATCAAAGGATAACATAATTTCTTTACATAATCATAGGTATTTTGAAGTTACATTATTATTTTAAAGTATCAATAATTGTTAAGTTTAATTAAAATAATAACAGTCAATGTTAATGGTAAAAATTACGTCAAAAACGTTTATTATGATGGTTACTTTATTTTCGTATAGACGTCGCTTTATACAAATATTTAATTTAAATAATTTTTTATTTAATATTAAGTATTTGTCGTAGAAAAAGCAACTAGTTTATAAACTTTTCTAGGCACTCATTTAATTGAATTTAATTCGTGACTAAAATGGCGTTTATCAAACTTGATACATAATATACTATTATCTACTCGTACATTTACGAGCTGTGAACTTATGGCGTTTTAGTCACGGAATGAAGTTATAAACAGTGGCTTTTAAGCTTTTTAGTCACGGGCTGAAATTATCTTTATTATAAACTGGGATAAAGTTAAATTCGGGTGACAGTTGATAGATGTCAAATATATAACAAATAAAATTTTGTTTTGTGTTCATTGTAGATAAAGTATAGTATGCAACCCCTATATAAACCACTCCTTTTTATTAAACACTCGCTCGCAAGCCTCGTTTGTGATTAATTAAACTAAAATGGTGTTAATAAAACTTGATTCATAATATACTATTAAAAGTCAGAATAAATATTTTAGTGTATAGGTAAACAAAATAAAAACACATTTAAATTTAAATGTAACCAGATATACATACAAATTTATCTCTTGATAAAAATGCTTTGAAAAATATAAAAATATCTATAAAAACAATAATTACCTTAAATTTATTTAAAACATTGTAACTAAACAAGCTAGTAGCAAAATGTTTATACAATTTGCTTTATTAATTTTAGTTATTGAAATTGTCTCTATAAACTCCCAGGTTTATTTAATTATTGTTAGTAAAATTAGGTTTATTATTATTTTCATTTTTAGCTAATTGGGGACTCATTTAATTGAATTTAATTCGTGACTAAATTGGCGTTTATCAAACTTAATACATAATATACTATATAATAATCAACTCGTACAATAAATAAATAAATAAACTGGGAGAAAATTAAGTTAAATTCGGATGGCAGTTGACAGATGTCAAATATTTAACAAATAAAATTAGCTTTAAATTTTGTTTTGTGTTCATCGTAGATAAACTATAGTATGCAACACCTATATAAACTACTCTAGACACTCCTTTTTATTAAACACTCGCTCGCAAGCCTCGGTCGTGATTAATTAAACTCGTAACTAAAATGGTGTTAATAAAACTTGATTCATAATACAGGGTGTTATGTAATTAATGTTATATATTAAAATACTGAATACCTTTTGACATAAGAAGCAAAGGAAAAATATTTTTTCAAAGATAAAGAAAAAATATGCTTTAGAAGTTTTTTATATTTTTTATGATACGCCACTGGTTACACACTTGAATTATCTCTGTACACTTGTGTTCTGTTGGTTGGTATCTATGTACTCACTGAGTACATAGATACCAACCAACAAAGTAGCTGCGCGTTGCCAGATGTAAAAAATTGTTACTAAAAATTTTTCTTGCAAAAAATAAATAAAAACTCATTAAATACAAAAGTTTTATGCCCTTAAAGGTCTTATTATAATACCCTTATGTATTTATTTACTCATCCAGCTATTAGCTTAAGCAATGAATAGAAAATTTAGTACCTATTTTAAAAAAATCCATAACCACAAAATTAATTTTTTCATCGGTTTTTTCTTTCTGTTTACTCAGATGAAATTGGGATCAGTTCACAGGTTAAACTTTAAACATTTAATTTGTGTAAATAAATCCAAAAGCACTTCCCTTAGTAATGATATTTACAATTTGAGCACATAACCTAAAATTTAAAAGAAATGCACTAGACCCTGTCATAAAAGTTGGCAGATTTTGTTTGAATTTACCTTCAGTACAAAAATTATATAACCAATAATTAATAAAAACGCCAAATTGACAATTTGCATTGTTAATTTTGTCATTTTTGTAATTAAGCTAAATTTAAACAATGTTTGTCAACTTTTTTGACAGAATTTGGAAAAGCTGTTGTTACCCACCAACATAATAAATTAAATTAGGCAACCAGATTAGCCTAAAGTTCCTAGTCGATCAGTGGCGTACTTTTTGGTAGGATAAAGGTTATTATAAATTATTTTTAGTCTTTGGGATTTAGAAAAAAAAAGTTTCAGTTGCTTCTTTATGGACCCTAAGGAACAACCCATTTTAATATATAACATTAATTACATAACACCCTGTATACTATTAAAAGTTAGAATAAAGTAAACAAAATAAAAACACATTTAAATTTAAATGTAACCAGATATACATACAAATTTATCTCTTGATAAAAATGTTTTGAAAAATATAAAAATATCTATAAAAAACAATAATTACCTTAAATTTATTTGAAACATTGTAACTAAACAAGCTAGTAGCAAAATGTTTATACAATTTGCTTTATTAATTTTAGTTATTGGAATTGTCTCTATAAACTCCCAGGTTTATTTAATTATTGTTAGTAAAATTAGGTTTATTATTATTTTCATTTTTAGCAAATTGGGGATGGTTCAGTTCTTTATTTAAAGGATGGACAAGTTCAAGTTCAAAAAATTCAAGGATTAAATAATATGGTATATTATGGAATTGGAGGAATACCTTTTGGAAAAGCTCCAGTGGGTGATTTAAGATTTCAGGTATGGTATAAACGATAGACGATAAATGGAATTATATTTCTTTAAATTAATAAATTTTAAGCTACTTTTTTTAATGAAAATTTTTATCAATCTTATGGTTTTTTAAATTTCTTCATTCCCCAAATAATATTTGACATTTGATAGTTCCGCCTTCTAAACCCCTTAAAACCAAATATTAAAAAATCCATCAATTATCTCGAAAACTACTAGTCCTACGTAAATTTCGTATGTGCAGATTTACCCAAGAAACCAAAATTATGTAAAATCAAAAGCTAAAGACATAATCGAGAAAAATTATTTTTCGTCACGTCTTCGAAATTCAGCAAGGTAGCGCCGCGGCCTAAATATTTGAAAATTGAAAAAGAAGTAGGAAAATAGCTGTCAACAAATTTTTCAACACGTTCTTTTATCATATAAGTAACTAAAATTGTAAACAATTTTATTTTTATTTTCGATTACCTATAGAAAATTAAGTGTTTTTTTAATATATGTGATTTTATATTAAAAATTTCCGTCGTGTGAGGTTTGGGTTAATATTAATACTAAGAGATATAAATTTGTAGAAATTTAAAAGAGTTTTAGGGGACAAAACGATCAAAATTAAAAAAATGACCTTTATTAGGACCATAAAATTTAAATAATCTACATATTATTTAATGATTTAAACATTTTAAAAACGATAGGTTGAGTACAAAATCAATAAAGATAAAGATTCAAATTTTATAAAATGTAAAACAGATTTTGTTTAACCCTTTCAATATTTTTGGTAATTCACAATGTTTTTGTTATTAGCCTCCCCAAAAGTGTGAGCCATGGACTGGAATCAATAAAAATGACTTTACGTTAAAATGTGTTCAACCAAATGGGGATGGACATGAGGATTGTTTAAAATTAAACGCATATTCAACAGATGTAAGTTACTTAAGACATTAAGCTTTAATGTATAACCAAATATTTTTAAAATTTAGTTCGGCGTACCAAACCAAGCAGTACTGGTATGGATTTATGGCGGAGCATTTGCTTCAGGTTCGGGATCATTTTCATCATTTAATCCAGCCTTTCTAATTGGACCAGGAGTATTGATAGTCGCTATAAATTACCGCGTGGGGGCATTTGGATTTTTAAGTACTGAAGATTCAATACTACCTGGAAACATGGGAATTAAAGACCAAATTTTGGCATTGCAATGGATTCAGAATAATATTGAACTTTTAGGAGGTGATCCTAAGAATGTTACAATTTTTGGCGAAAGCGCTGGAGCTGCGTCTGTGTCATTTCTAACAATTTCTTCTGCAGCAAAAGGTATACCTAATATTATAATAATATAATAATAATTAATATTAATAACTAATTGCAAAGGTGGAAACCAGACTATATTTTTCTAGAGTTTTTGACATTATATACCTAACCAAACCTTATAATGCCTTCATCATGTCAGACTATTCTAAACTCCAACCTTAGTGGAAAACGCGCCGGGAAAAAAAATTACCTCTTGAGGTAATATAATATAACAAGTGGTATGATTATCATCGATGATATTTTCGAATTGAAACCGAGCTGCAGATTTCACGAGTCCGCAGGACGAATGAAATGTGCTGCTTCGGTTTTAATGAGTAAATATCATCGATAATTAATCATACCACGAGTTATATTTAGTGAGACAATACAATTCATTAATATTAGAACCAATAAAATGCCAGCATTTCATAGTTCCGCATTTTATCCCAGCGGCAATATTTTTTATCATCTTGTTTACACGTTACTAAGAATTTTGACACTTTTCTTGATTTAACATTTGATGTCATTTAAATTCTGTGTTTGATATATATCAATAAAATAATGAATTATAAACTCTAAAAGATCGATGGGTTGGTGTAAACGATATTGAAATTAAGGTAAGTTTGAATAAATAAGGTTTATTAAAGTCTTTTTATATTTTAAAGCACATTTTAATTTTAAATGTCAATCTGACAATTTTTTTAATTCCTAAAATTCATTGTATTTTCTCACTAAATATAACTCGTGGTATGATTAATAATCGAAGATATTTACTCATTGAAACCGAAGCAGCACATTTCACTCGTCCTGCGGACTGAAATCTGCAGCTCGGTTTTAATTCGAAAATATCATCGATGATAATCATACCACTTGTTATATTATGGGTGACAATACAATTCATTAATATTAGAACCAATAAAATGCCAGTATTCTATAGTGACGTATTTTATCACAGCGGCAATAATTTTTATCATCTTGTTTACACGTTACTAAGAATTTTGACACTTTTTTTGATTTAACATCTGTTGTCATTTAAATTCTGTATTTGATATATATCAATAAAATAATGAATTATAAACTCTAAAAGATCGATGGGTTGGTGTAAACTATAATAAAATTAAGGTAAGTTTGAATAAATAAGGTTTATTAAAGTCTTTTTATATTTTAAAGCACATTTTAATTTCAAATGTCCTATTGATCTTTTAGAGTTTATAATTCATTATTTTAATCATTTAAAAAACACAGAATTTAAATGTCAACAAATGTAAAATCAAGAAAAGTGTCAAAATTCTCAGCAACGTGTAAACAAGATGATAAAAAATACTGCCGCTGTGATAAAATGCGTAGCCATGGAATACTGGCATTTTATTGGTTCTAATTATAATGAATTGTATTGTCACAAATACACGCATTTTTTTCCAATTTTGGAATACATTTTCTCGAAAACATTACATAATAGAGCCATTCTGAAGATTTCTAATTTCTAGGCTTTCTCTTTCAAGGATTAAATATAGTTACAAATTTTATTCTTGTTTTTAGGTTTATTTCAACGAGCTATAATGCAATCAGGCACATCATTATGCACTTGGGCGCGTTATTTTAATGCCAAACATAATGCTTATGCCCTTGCCACAGAATTGGGCATAGTTGCATATAATTCACAATCTTTACTGGATGGCTTAAATACTAGAACAGCAAGTGCAATCGCTGCAGCCTATACTACTTATAGATATGCCGTAAGAAAAACATACGTTTTTATTGATTGATTTATCTACAATTTTGTGGATGGCCAATTTTATAATAGGCTAAGACTTACCTTAATGCTTAGAATATCATAAGTGTCAACTACAAATAAATAACAAATTAATAAGTCTATACCTTAAAATCCATTTTTATTTAGTTTAAAATTTAAGTTGAAAAAATCACGTAAGTGCTTGAAAATAATGAGTAGAAGAGATTCATTTCGAGCTTCCAATAGACTAAAATTAGACTAACATTGAAAAATAGAATAAATTAAATGTACTTGCCACTTGACAAAACTAAGTACTGAGAGACGGTTATATTTCAGCGAAAGTTTGTTTCAAACGTATGACATATTTAAATAATTCAACAAACTCCTAATGTTTGTTAGCAAAAGTTCGGGATCAGAACTTGTTATAAATATTGAAATAAAAAAGTCTGTAACTTAAAAAATTTAATTTTTGTATGCAAATTTGGACAAAAAATTATTAATATTTTAACAGTTATCATTATAATTTGTATTCATTGGTTAGTACGAACAAATTTTTGGTCTAAACAACTTATAAATGAAACACATTTGGAATTTCATATTCCGCTCTGGTAAAATCGTCAAACTCGCTTTCGACTCGAGGGAGAGCGCGGTCATCAACAATTATAATTTGGACATGTTAATTATTCAATATTAACTAATATTTTAAACAATATTTAACGGTCCACTTTGGAATTGGTATTCAATGTTCTGTACACCTTGGTAAGTAGGTACATATAAATTTCAAAAACTGTAAAGAACATGTCCAAATTTTAAAATAATCTATTTATTTATATAATTTGAATAAATTAAAATTTTCCAAAATAAAGATTTGTTTTTTAAATATCAAAAACAAGATCTAATAACGAATTTTTGCTAACAAATTTTGCATATAACTTTAAAATAAAAAAATTGTATTAGTATAAGAACGTATGGCTGGCTTCATCGGTATCACCTTACAGTGAATCACTGTCAGTGATCTCCCAAAGTTATGTTTACCATATTTCAGTTCTAATACGTATCCCGCAAATGCACAGCATAACCTGTGTTTGATGGATCCAAAGTTTAACCCTGGTTGGTAAATTTATCTTAGGAGGTCGTAGATGGCAGTTTCGATGGTCCCGGAGTTTTATCGCCGGGCCAGGCCACACGCCCGATGTAGGCTAGTGGAGTGCCGGACAAGGAGGGAAATCATTTTGGTTTTTGGGGGACATTGGATTGACCCAAAACAAAGTACACTCCGGAATCCCCCTAAACCAGGGATTCAGTAATACCCCCATTCAATTGGGGTTCATGAATGAGGCTTGGCTGGTTATTGCGTTGCTAGGACCTGCTAGACTTGTAGTCTGCTGAAAATTCGGAAACTGTTGTGCGCAATTGTTTGCCTCACTGTGCGAAACCATTTCTTTACTGTAGGAGTCGAGAACTATCGATAGATAGTTTTTAATGGACGGCAATGATAGTTTTTAATTGTTTTTTTTATTTATTTTTTTTATTATGTTTATTACCAAGGAATGCAAAAATTATCCAATTCTGGTTGCCCGAGCTTTCTGTTGTCTACATTTTGTGGTATAAATTGTATTTATGTTTTCTTTTATTCTTTTTAAACAATTAGAAATTGCATGTACATTATTTTATTCAATATAATTGCTCTTAATATATATATTTTTTAATCTCTTGGCCTTAAATTTTGAGCTGTTAAGTGGTTTATTATGTTTATGTTTATCTTAGGCAAATATTGGAACTGGTTTATAGTGTGAACCTACTTAAGATTTAGTGGTATTTTTTAAAGTCGCAGCCTTTGGTTGCATAGGCTTGTTTCTAATTTTTAGTCGAATTTGATTTGAATAGGCATTAGGTATTTTCTGGTCTATTAAGATGTTGATTTATTATCCCTGTTTATTTTTTTTGTTCCTGTGGATTTTTCTACGTGAGAAGGTATAACCATAAGGCTTGGTAAAATTTGGAATTACGAGTTTTTAATATTGCGAATAGCTTCATGCAAATATTATTATATACTTATCAGTATTCGCCTTGTTTCCTCGTTATTGATCTCTTTCAGGTTCCCGCTAAAATGAACCACCTGTTCAGGGGTGACACTATGCACTTTGCACTTTTGTCCTGGTCAGTGAGGTGATTATGCACATTGGTATTCGTGGATCTACACACTGTTGATCAAAACTTTATGAATTTTTACCGTTAAGGTATTCTGGTCTAAAATGCACTGTTTATAGCCATGGTTAGATTTCTATGGACGGAACAGATATACGTCTTACGGGTACAAGTAATACTGTCGTACTAACTTTAAAATAAAGAAAATCGTCTCATTTTTTTTAAAAAGAAAACAAAAAAAATATATAGACAAATTTAAATTTTGGCCAAAAATTTACCGGAAAATGACCCATATGCACTATAATATATATATGTATTTTAGTATTGGGTTCTGGGTAATCCACTGGAAGGAATTAATTTTGCTCCTACCATCGAACCGGAATCATATCATGCTGCAATTACTAAAAAAAGTTTTGAAAGTCTAAAAAATGGTGATTACAATATTGTACCAACCATTATAGGTCGCACATCTCAAGAAGCAGCTTTAGCTCAAGATCCTAAACGTATGTTTTTTATAGTTAGTATTATTCCATATTTTTAATAATGTTTTTGATTTAAGTGTCTGCAATAGTTACCTTACTGCTAACTAAATATAACGCTAACCCTACCTCTGTAGTGCCCATCGGATTAAATATGCCTCTTAGTTTAAAAAAAAATAATCTCGGGCTCAACATTCAAAGTGAATACTTTGGTTTACTAATGGCCTTAGGCACTCCAGCGAATACAGCACAAGTATTATACTTTTTCTTACTTTTATGTTATATATTAAATTTTATATATATTTATTTTGTTATAGTTTGTTAGTGATTTTATGTTTAATAGACCCATATACGTTTCTGAGTTGGCAATGTCATATAGAGAAAATGTGTTTTCGTATATCTTTAACTACAGAGGGTCAAACATTAGTTATGCTTACCCAGGTTAATATTGTTTATACTCCTTTATTGTTAATATTTTAAATGTTATATTTTCTTAGGAGTTGGACATGGCGATGAATTAAAATTTTTATTTTATGACCCCACTATAACATATGACGGAACAGATTTACAAGTGGCAAAAAGTATGGCACTCTTCTGGACCAATTTTGCCAAATTTGGGTAATTACATTTCGTTAAATATTTAATTGGTATTTAATGTATTTATATATTATTTTTAGGTCACCTACACCAGTTAGTGATCCAGAATTGCAAAACATTAATTGGGTCCCCGCCACTGTAAGTAATAATATGAGTTATTGCTGGATTGACGCTGAACTTAAAATGATGTCTGGACCAAGTTTTCAAAGACAACAGTATAACCTGGATCTTTACCAGAATAACGGAATACCTCCTTTTGATATTATATAGATATTTATAAAAAAAATAAATAGAGCAAGTAATATTTAGTTTTATTACCTAAAAATTGTCAAATAAGCTAAAAATCAAATACCTACATTGCTTTTATAGCACATGGTCTTAAAATTAAAATGTACACTTAAATAATCAAAATATCTTTTAAGTTTCCACTTAACTAATGGAAATATTTTTTCTACTCCCCCATTGATAATTATTATAATCTGTGACTTTATGGCGTTTTAGTCAAGGGGTGAAGTTAGCATCAGTGGTTTTTGGACATTTTAGTCACGTGCTGAAGTTAGCTTTATTATAAATTAGCGAAAAGTGAGGATAAATCCATTGACAATTGACAGTTGTCAAATGTTTAACAAATAAAATTGGCTTTAAATTATTGGGAATTGGGAAAACCTAGGTTAAATCCGTTTAATGTTGACAGATGTTAAATTTTTAACAAATAAAATTGTCTTTAAATTCTTTTGTTTTCGTCGTATATAAAGGATGGTATGCAACTTGTATTATAAAGTGAGGTTAAATCCATTGACAGTTGATATATGTCAAATGTTTAACAAATAAAATTGGCTTTAAATTATTTTTTGTGTTTGTCGTAGATAAAGTATGACATGCAATTCGTTTTATAAATTTCTCTAGACACTCGTTTTTGATACATAATTTACTTACAAAAATTACTATTGCTGTTGTCAAAGTAACCCGTGAGGTTTTATTAATAATTGGATGATTTAAAATGGTACATTTACATTTTATATTGAGTAGATTAGTGTTCTGCGCATCAATGGTTACTGTGTTTTTTCTCCGTGAATTACTAAAATATTGCTAAAATTTAATTCTAATAAACGCATAGTAACAGTGTATTAAAATTTAACCGTACAATATTCAGGGCATCCAATAATTCGTCGTGTGGAATGATCTTAAATTAAGAATGTAAATCGGTAATATTTTGAATTAACGTTTGCAAATTTCCAGGAGTATATTTTAAAACCCTATCTGACACAAAATATTATTAAAAAGAGGGCGCAAATAGTATAGTGTGGTATCAATTTTTATAAACGCCATTTTAGTTACGAGTTTTATTAGGAACGGGCAAGCTTGCTAGCGTGTTTAATAAAAACGAGTTGCACGCTATACTTTATATACGACAAACACAAAAAATAATTTAAAGCCAATTGTATTTGTTAAACATTTGACATCTGTCAACTGTCAATGGATTTAACCTCACTTTATAAAACAAGTTGCATACTATACTTTATATACGACGAACACAAAAAAATTTAAAGAAAATTTAATTTGTTAAAAATTTAACATCTGTCAACAGTCAACAGGTTTAACCTCGCTTTTTCCCAATTTATAATAAAGCCAACTTCAGCCCTTGACTAAAATTCCCAAAAGCCACTGTTGCTAACTTCAGCCCCTGACTAAAACACCATAAAGTCACAGGTTATCAATGGGGGAGTAGATAACCAAACATAAATTTGTTCAAGAAAATGTAAAACACCTGCAAAAATTGGTCCAGTTCAAAATCCAAAGATAATTTTCTTATAAGTTTAAAAACAGAATTGAGTATGAGTATGAGAACGTATGGCAGGCCTCATCGACATTATCTTACACTAATCTCCCAGGGTTATTTTACCCCCTTTCTCCTACGTATCCCGCCAATTCACAGCATTACCTGTGTTTGTTGGATCCGACGTGTTATTTCAATGGAAAACTTAGAATGCTCACCGACACCTTTTAAAATTGAGCAAAAAATTTTGCCTTGCAGGGAAATTTTTTGCTCGGTATGTAGATTCATTTTAACCCATAAATCCGATAGGTTAGTTTTTTTGGCTCACCCTAATGACAGTGTCTATGGTTAAGGCCGCTCCCTGATTTTTGTAAGCCGGGTCGGGCCATACGTCAAATTTAGACTAGAGGAGTGCGGGATAAGGAGGGCTAGTGGTGGTTTTTGGAGGCCATTAAACTGACCTAAAACTAAGTACAATCCGGAATTCTCCTCAACCTAGATCTTAGTAATAACCCCATTTAATTGGGATTCATGAATGGGGGTCGGGGTGTTAGTACGCTGCTAGAATCTGAGCTTGTTGGTGAACTTATAAACGTCTCTGTCCTAGTCTGTTTCCGGATCCTGGTAACCTCTTTAGAATTGTTTGCTCCCTGTGAGGTACTGAATCTTGTCTTTAGTACCGAAGTCTTGACGGCCACGACCCCCCGTAAGTGCCCTCTGCCTTCGTGGATATTCAACTTCTCATGCCGAGTACCGACTGTCGACCTTGTTTATTTTATTGTTAAATACCGTTTATTATTATTTAATTTATATCTTATCTCAATCTGCAATCTTACTTTTTTTTCAAATCTAATTTAAAAATATTAATATTAATATACAAAATAGATAAAGCCGGCCTTGTGGTGTTTCGTATTAAAATTTGAAATACGGCCCTAATGGCAGGCGTGTAACGTATGCTTTAATAGATTGTTTATTTACGTTATATTTTTACGTGGTTTGTTTATTAGTAGACTGTTTAAAGGTTTGATTTGTGGCTGGGCTGTAAGTTTATGCGTATATTATATAATATATATAATACAATAATATAATATTGTGACGTTTTTTTTACCCTCCTCCGCTGTTTTCGGTAATGATTAATTGTTGCCAGGTTTTTGTTACAGATTTGGGTATTAGGTCATGCAATAATACTTATCAGAATCTGCAGGTGGTGATCCCTTCCACTCTTGGTTAGACTAGTTTTTTCTTTAAATAGGAGATTCCTTGACCTTTCTCCTGTCACTTTATTACTTCCGTGTCCGCACTGACCTCACCCTGTATTCACCGTTGAGAGATTTCCTTTTGAGGAATTATATATTAATTTAATATATTAATTTTTTTGCAGAACATAGTCTTTGGTATACAATAGTATTAATTTATACCCACGGATCTTGGAGTAGATAATAGCAATTTATTCAATATTCGCAAGGAATATGTAATTTCGTAATTACCTTAGTGTTCGCGGGCAGCATTAAGTTAATATTGAAAAAGGTGCGATTAAAAAATAGATTTAAATGTTTACCAATTTTGCCAAATAAAATTGGCTTTAAATTCCTTTAGTTGAATAAGAAAAAATAATATAGGTATGGTCGAAAGAGGAGATTCCACCCGCATGTTTTCGCAAAGTCCTTGCTCGAGAAATATCATTTTTTCCCCTAGTCGTACAATATACTATTGTTCAACAAGTGGGGAAAATTATCAATTCTGAATTAGCATTTGTTTGCATGAATGAGAGTTGCACAAATTATTTTGTCCCAAAATCAAAATAAAACTTTAATAAAAATCAAAAAAGACATACTTTTGTAGAATACGATACGGCCAAATCTGTATGGGTGTATGTCATCAATGGCATACGACGTCAGCGTGAAGGGCCATTCATACGTGCCCAGGCATAATCTAACATTCATGTATTGTTTTACTGTTTATTAAGATGCAAGCATTGTCCAAATCTTAACTAATTAGGAGTTTGTTACGGCAAAAGTTTGATTAAATATATTTATTATTGGAAAATAAGACAAAATTAGCTTAACAACAAAAAAATAACATTTATTATTTATATCAAAGTCACGTTGTAAAACTGATGTCTGGAGCATAGTACAAAACGCAAAAGTACTAACTAACCAGTCGTCAGAGCGAAACAGGTCAGACTCGAAGTTATTATTAAGGGCGAAATGTCTTCGCAATCTAATAAATATTATTATTTATAATAATCTGCCACAAACGATGGTTTCGCACAAAATCAAAATGACATAAAATGACAAAAAAAAGATAAAATGACGCCGACCCGTCAATAATATTGAACGGTGCGCGCCAGCCTTAATCTATTAGCAACTGGCACACACAAAAATTACATTTAAAAAACATTTTAAAAACAGGAAACTTGTGACAGTTCTTGATAAACAATACACAAATAAATTATATATTTTTAAAACACCCTAAAAATGCCTTAAAAGGCAATTTTAGCGGCAGTAACTTTACAGTTCAAAGTTGGTAATGCTAAAGTCATTATACCGCATTGATGACGTGTACATTTGACCGGTTCTTTATGAATATATCGTAGTGTGACCTGACCTTAATGGTATTGTTGACGGATCAGTATTTTGGTTTTTACACACAGAAAAAGCCTTTATATTGTGAATGAGTTAATGGTATACTGTATTTGCCAATGGTATACTGTATTTGCAATACCTGAATTACAGCTATGATCAAATGAATGATTGTCTTACTTATTTGTGCAAACCTGTTTAAAATTAGTTCAAACATAAGAAGTCATTGAATTAAATTGTGATTCTATTAAATCCATATTAAAACTTAGTTACTTAAAACATAAGAAATTATTAGAAGTTATTTTGACTAGGAATCTTTAAAAAAGTCAAACAAATGTTGTCTCCAAAAGGCACAAATAACAATTTATTTGAACTAACAGTTTCAGTGAGAAAGGAAGTAAGTACTACAATGTAATCTTGAGGACGTATCCAAATATAATTGATGACCATTTGTACCGCGCATGACCGTTTGTTGTTATGAAAAGGTACAATTGCTACATACACCTTAAGTGTATGTGCGCATGTTGGGCGGGGCTTAAATATGTCACTTGTTGAGTATTTTTAAATCTTTAATTATATGCTGCTAAAATTCTTGTTTTTGCGATGCTGTTGGATGTTAACTTGTTCTATTTTTTTTAACTTGTTGTTTTTGCGTTTAATGAGGTTCGAATTACTTTTTAGTGTTCAAATTATTGTTATTGCGTTGTGTTAACCTGTTCTGTTTGTTTATTATTGTTTTTGTGTTGCGTTGAAACTTGTGTTGTTTGTGTTTTAGTTTGTGTCCTGCCATTTGCATTTATTAAAATGCGGTGTGGCATATTTGTATGCAATTTGGACAACCAGTCCAAGAAAAACCCTATAAATAAAAACAAATTTCATCGATTCCCGAAAAACTTTGATTTTTGCAAACAGTGGTTAAATGCCATAAAAAGAATAGACAA